CATGGATGTGCCTGGAGGACAGAAGAGGTGTTGGATGCAGCTGTTGTGAGCCACCCAACATGGGTACTGGGAACCAAACCAAAACTCTCTTCAAGAGTAGCCAGTGTTCTTAACTACTGAGTCATCTCTCCAGGTCCTTGCTGGCCCTAATCTGTGCCTCTGATTGGTGTGTTTAATTCATTCATCCACACATGGTTCTGGGCATGGGTGGTGTGCATATGGCAGAAGGGAGTGTCTTGTTTGCACTTCTCTGGAATTCAGCTCTGCAATATGGGATGTGCTACATCTCCCCACTCCACAACTAGGTTGGATCTGGGGAAGCAGCATCCATCTTGAATGAATTGATTTATTGTGTATGTGTGTGTGCTTGGGTGTATGTATGTGACCCACTTACATGCAGGAGCCTGTGGTGGTCAAAAGAAGGTGTTAGATCCCCTTGGAACTGGAGTTAAGGACAGTTGTGGGTGCTGGGAACTGAACCCCAGTCCTCTGCAAGAGCAATAAGTGTTCTTAATCACTGAGCCGTCTCTCCAGCATTGAATAAATACTTGTTCATTACAGAACTTTTCTTGGCTGGTTGTCAGAATGGTTTTCAGCAGTTCACTTATTTCAGATGGGGGGGGGGAGTCTGTGTGTTGATTCCTAAGACTGCTGCTTCAGAAAGGGAATCCACCTTCTAGAATATTGGCTTCATTTGGAAATTGAATGTTATGTTTGATTTTATCATACTGGGTTATATAAGGTGTGTAAGTCACAGTTATCTAAAGGTACAAAATTGACAGAGTGAATACATATATATATTAAAAGAGGATTTATTAGATTGGCTACACAATGTGGCCCAGGTAGCCTAGTAATGGCTATCTCACGCTGGAGAGGCTGGGGGGAGAGGCTGGATGATGTCTCCCCACTCCCCATCTGATACTGAAGCTGGAGGGTTCCCAAAGAGTTACTGGGCTTCAGTCTACTTTGGAGCTGAAGAGGATACTTCTTCTTCTAAAAAGATTTATTTATTTATTTATCATGTATACAGTGCATGCTAGAAGAGGGCACCAGATCACATTACAGTTGGTTGGGAGCCACCATGTGGTTGCTGGGAATTGAACTCAGAACCTCTGAAAGAACAGTCAGTGCCTTTAACCCCTGAGTCATCTCTCCAGCCCTGAGGATAGTTCTTATATTGGCAGAGGAATGCATCAGCAATAGGGTAGATGGACTTGCCAGCAAGAGTGAGGACAAGCAGGCAAAAAACAAAGTTTCCTTGTCTTTTAATCTGGGCTGGTTTACTGTGGGTTTTCCTGCTTGAAATAATCTGATCAAGAAAATCCCCCCCAAGAAGTGCTCAGTGGCTTGAATTTTAGTTGATTCCAGATCCAAATTGACAACTGTGATTGGCCAACACATAGGCCAATTTTGCAAAATTATATGAAGTTCTTTGGGCATAGGATGACACCCTTAGCACTACCTCTCTCTCTTGTTTCTCTCCCCTCCTCTGTTCCCTAGACAATCTCCTTTCCACCTTGATGTGATGTGGACACACATGATTTTATGCATCTATATAAAATCTAGGTCCACAAATGAGAGAATACATGTGCTACTATTTTTTTTTTTGAGGCAGACTTAATTTGCTCAGTATGGAAATCAGTGTGGAGGCTCTTCATGTAACTAGTAGATAGATGTACGTGACCCATCTACAGCACTGCTGCATATCTACCCTAAGGACCCTGAGTCAGTGCCACAGGTACACGCATTACAGTGTTTACTGCAGCACTGTACACAACAGCTTTGTTAAAGAACCAACCCAGGAGTTCAAAGCAGAGGAACGGGTAAAGAAATGTGGATTATGCACACAATCGAAGCTTTTCCAGCCATAAAGAAAAGTGAAGTTATGTTGTTTGTAGGAAAACAAATGCAACTGGAGATGATCAAATTAAATGTTACTGAGAGCTATGTGTCTATGTATCTATGTATCCATCTATCTATCTATCTATCTATCTATCTATCTATCTATCTATCTATCTAATCTATCTGTCTTACCTTTGTTCTTTCTCTGTGAACATTTCAAGAACCTTTAAACTCACTAAATAACTTTGAAAGGCCTTGCATGCTAGTGTCATGCATGTATGGTCTACATAAAGCCAGTATCTAAATTCAGTGGCCAATTTTGGGATTCAGAAGAGAGATGAATGGAAGACTGAAATGGGAAAGGAGCTGCTGGCTCTGTTGGAATAACACACCTAAAACTAGACTAATAGAACTGGCAGCACCGTTGGTCATCATCTTCAGAGAGGCTGGAGGCAGGGTCTTGCTCTGAGACAGACCAGGCTGTGTACCTGCATCTGATGTGGTACCCAGGTGGCTCCCATCCTCAGTGGCATGGAAGTGGTGAGAGGAGAAGGGAGGGCTCAGAGCCACCCTTCTTTCTTATTATCTGTCTCGCCTTGCTCATTTCCAGATTTCTTGCCTCTGTCACGTTCTATGAAACTTCATTCCTCTCTCCCTTCTCGCTTCTCTAGGAACCCATATGCCATTCCAGGGAACCAAGAACTTTATCCTTCGCTTCCTCTTGGAGTTTCTGATGCCTTGACTCTGTAGTATGGTCAGTTGCCAGTGCAGGCTGTCATCTCTTCTCTGTCCTCTGTGCCTTCTGGGTCTGGAGGGTGGGAGAGAGAGTTAGAGGATATTTGGATGTAGGCCAGTACCCTTAGCAGTGGGAAGTTCCTCACCTGGGAAGAGTGTTCTTGACACACCATGGAAGGATGTTGGAGTCCTGGGCCTGACTCACATGTCCCATTGGTTAGGTCTGATCAATAATCAATTGTGGCCAATTGATTATTTTCCAATCTATTTCACAAGTAAAGGGTGATAAGATTCTACACATTTTTCTCTCAGATAGATACATTTTCTTCGTTTTTTTGTTCCTCTTTATTATTGCCATTTGACACATAACAGCTATACATATTTATTGGTACAAATTGAGATTTTGCTATGTGAATTTGAAATGTAACAATTAAAGGAAGGTAATTATTATGGCCATCAACTCAAACACTTATTATTTATTTCATTATTGTTATTTAATTGTTTATGTGTTTGTGTGTCTCAGAAGCCAGAAGCGTGTGGTCAGATGTCCTGGAGATGGAGTTACAAATGCTTTGAGTTACCATGACACTGCTGGGAACTGAACCTGGGTCCTCTGGAAGAACAGCAAGTGCTCTTAACCACTGAAGCTATCTCTTCGGCTCTGATCATATCTTTATTTTGGGACCCTTTAAAACCTATTTGTTTAACTATTTTAGGATATGCAATAACCGTGAACTCCACTATTCCCAAATGCTACTGTACTCCAGGACTGATTCTATACCTAACTGACTTTTCTAGTCTCAACTCCTTCGTCCCCCTTGTAACCTCACTAACCCATATTCTTCTCTGTATTTCCTTTATGTTTTTCCTAAATAGCCAGTATTTATTTATTTATTCCCAACATAATATTTTTATTGATTATTTGGGAACTTCACACATTGTACCCTGATCACACTCAATTTCCATTCCTTCCAGGTTCACCCTCCCATCCCTTTCCCTCCCCGCTGCCCCCAAATTTGCCAAGTTCAATCTGTATTGTTTGTTGTCCATATATTCATTGGAGCATGGTCAAACTCCCAGTGGCCAGCCCCTTAAAGATAACTGAGACCTCCACTCTCCCTGTCATCAGAAGCCATCAATGGCGAAGAGCTACACTACAGCAACCCTATCGTGATTTTCAAGGACTCTTTTCAATGGCTTCCTGCCTAGACTGTTTCTTTTTGTGGGGAGGGTTGGGGTGGGGAAAGGTTGTAACAGATGTCTTCAATGTCTCTCATTCTCAACTATGCCTCTGTAGTCGTTGATACCACTGTAAAGGAAGTTTTCTTGCCCATAACAGCCAGCAGCAGCATAGATTGTGGACTTCCACATGGTTTCTAGTAGCAGCACAGACCACAGACATTCACATGGTGTCTGGGTGCAGCATGGACCATGGATCTCAACATGGTCCCCAGTCATGGTCCCCAGCCCTGATCATGAACATCAACATGGCCTCCTGCAGCAGCTCTGATCACTGACATCAGCATGATCTCCTGTGGCAGCCCTGATCGTGGATGTCAACATGGTCCCCCATGGTGGCATGGATCATGGACATCAGCATGGCCTTGTGCTACTCTGTATTTCTATGAAACCAATTGGGTAAGTTCCCATGTATGAGTGAGAACATGTAGTGCTCCTTTTATTTAATACAGTGCCCTCCATATAGGTTGCTACAAATGTCAGAATTTCATTCTTTTCCATGGCTATCATTCCATTGTGTATATGCACTACTTTTTCCTAATCCGTTCATTGATGAGTGACCACTGTTGGGGACTCTATATCCTGGCTGAGCAGTGCTGCTAGGACCAAGACAGTTCGGTTACATGGCAGTTTTATTTCTAGTTTTCTGAGAAGCCTCCATGCAGTTTTCCATACTGCATTCGTGTATGAGCTTTCCATTCTCCTCAGGGTGGGCAACATTTGTTATTTGTCTTATTATTTGTTTATTTATTATTTATACCTTTTGTTATTTGTTATCAGCATTTGTTGTCTTTTTCATTCCATGCCACCTATGGTGAGACAATGTCACATTGTGGTTTTAATTTGCATTTCCTTCGTTAGTCATGCTGATAGCATTTTATAAATAATACTTCATGGCTGTTTATAGAGCATTTTTATGCAATGGGTACTCAGGTTATTTGCCTGTTTTTGGCTGGACTACTTTTTCAGCAGTTGAATATTTTAGTCCTTGTGTATTCTCAACACCAGTTTTTTTCTCAGATGAACAAACTACATATCTTTTCCCATTGTGTAAACTGTCTTCTCATTCTTTGTTTCCTTTGCCGACCAGACACTTTTCAGTTTGAAATAATTCCATTAGTCAATTTTTAATTTTTTCTTTTGTCTTTATTTTTCTTTTACATTTATTTATTCTTTTTTTCCTACATCAGACTGGTATTGCTCTGATGTGGTAACAAAGTTTGTGGAGACACATGCCACTCAACGGTGTGGACATTTAAGCTTCATGCTGATGAACCAAAGAAAGGATCCTGTTTGTCAATTTTTTGCTTTTGTTTCCTGTGCTTTTGAAAGTAGTTATTGCCTTGGGTAGGTGAGATGGTTCTGCAGGTAAAGGTTTTTGCTTCCTGAGTTTTATTCCTGGAACCCACGTGATAGAAGAAGAAAACTGACCATTGTCCTCCTACTTACACACACACACACACACACACACACACACACACACACACACACACACACACACAATAAATGCAGTAAGAAGTTTTCTTTGACAATATCCTGGAGCTACCATTGGTAGCTTTGAGTTGAGTGGAGACATTGCTCTTTCATTGTTCTTATGGATAGCCAGTTTTCTTATTATTACTTATTAAAGAGATCATCTTTTCCCCAATAAATATTTTGGGAGTTGTATTGAAGATCAGTTGTGGGGGGTAGATGCATGGGTTATTTCTAAGGTTTAAATCGTGTTCTATTGATTTGTGTGTTGATATTTATGCTAGTGGTGGTTTTGTTTTTATAGCTTTGCCCTATGTTTTAAAGTCAAATGCTGTGATTCTTTCAGACCTTGTTTCTGCTCAAGACTGACTTGGCTATTTGAAGTCTCTTATGCCTTTATATGAAGGTTAATATTATCTTCTCTAGCTCAGAGAAGTCTCATTGGTATTTTGATGGGGATTGTATTTTGCAATGAATCTGGAGTTGTTTTGAATAAATGACATTTTACCAATATCAGTTCCTCCAATTCATGATCACCCATTCCTTGTGCTTTCTTTCACCAGTATTTCATAATTCTGTTATAGGAGTCTGTATTAGTTACTTTCTTCACTGCTGTGAGAAAATACCTGGCAAGCAATGTAAGAAGTAAAGGTTCTCTTTTGGCTCACTGTTCAAGGGTGTAGTCCATTATAATGGGGCAGTCGAGTTGGCAGGTACTTGAAACAGCACAGAAGAAAATGGATCACAAGACATGAAACTTCTAGTAGAAAATATAGGGGGAATGCTTCAAGCATGAACAGGGAAGGTCAGGGAGCAGAGAGAGAGAGAGAGAGAAAGAGAGAGAGAGAGAGAGAGAGAGAGAGGAATTCCATTCTGCAGTTCATTTTCTCCTTTTGTTCAGTGTAAGACTCCAGCCCATGGAATGGCACCACCCACACTTAGGGCTGACTTTCCCACCTTAAATGACCCAATCTATAAACCCCCTCACTGACATGCTGAGAGGTCTGCCTATTAGGCGATTCTAGAACCTGTCAAGTTGATAGCCAGTATCAGCCATCACAGACTTCTTTACTCACTCTGTGAACTTTATCCTTAGGTATCTTATTGTTGTGTATTTTGGTGGGTATATGAATATAATTTCTTAAATCTTCTCCCGTGTATGCTTATTATTGGTGTGTAAAGATGCCAATTCTGAAACACACCATTTTATGGAGAAGGAAATTGTAGCCTTGGAAGGAACATTGACTCACAGACCATAAATTGCTCTAGTGTGTTGCAAGCAGCTCAGGTACTCTTTGCCCATAATCTAAGCTGATTATGAGGGGAACAAACATAGAATATTAAAATGAGCTCAGGAGGAGGGTGTGAGCGAAGTCCTGTAAATTCTCCATAAACTGGTTTCTTTCATGAATCCTGTAGTAAACTTGGTTTAGTTCCTTAAGCAAGTCACACTGTTCCAAAGCCAATGAGACTTTTGGGGCCATCTTGCCTTTCTAATTCCCAGCCTGGTTTCTTCTCATTTTTCAGAACGGTCTTCCTTGCTGGAATTCTGTGTGTATGCAGGGTCAGCCCCTTTATTTCCTTTGTTTGCTCCATTTTAATTCTATGAAAACACTATGCATTGATCTATACATGTCTGTCTGCTTGTAGTTGTTTTCTTTAGATTTTTAAAAAGCTAGGGTGGGCAGGGAATTGACTTGTTTTCTTCAGCTTTCTGTTAGTGCCTTGTTGAATAAATGAGTAAATTTAAAACTTGCTGGTGAGGATGCGTGTGGGTGGGAAATAAAGGTCAAATGTTAGAGAAGGACAAGGAGGGAGGGAGCTGCCACCTTTTAAATGTGAACTTGTGTGTGTGTGTGTGTGTGTGTGTGTGTGTGTGTGTGTGTCATATGTGTGCAGGTATGCAAAGAGGCCTGGAGAGGCTGTCAAATCCCTTGGGGATGGAGGTGGCTGTGAGCTAGCCTAACATGGGTGCTGGAATCTTGGTCTTCTGAAAGAACAATATGTACTCTTAATAGCTGAGCCATAGGTCCAGTCTTATTCACAGGTTTTGCAGAAATGTTTATACTGAAAATTTCCTCAGTGGTTAACTGATTTGCTCCTAGACACATGCTCACCAGAAAGGACCCTGTTGGTGGGTTTGCCCAAGTCACTGACAGCACCGTGAAAATTCTCTTGGGCCAGCCTTATCATCTTCTGTGCATTGTGCAAAGATCAACATGTATTTATATTTTCATCTTTTGTTTGTTTTTGTTTTTTTGTTTTTGCTACTACTTTACTTTATTTCAAGGATTGGTGCAAATGACAAAACGTTAAGTGAGCACTTTGGCACAGCTTACAAAAATGACAAAGGTAACTCCCAAATCTCTTGAACTTTACAACCAGTCAGCTATTGCAGCTTCCTTCCCCCACCCAAGGTGAAGAACCAGAGATTAAAATGGTATGTAAGCTTTTAAGCTCACTTAGCTGGGCAGATGGCAGGGTGCACTCCGAGTCTGGGCTTCACTCAGATCACTATGCTGTGTGGCCTTGTGTGTCCCTCTAGACTGAGGGTTGGGGGGCCTCAGTCTAGCCATTGCTCCTGTGTCCCCTATGACCTGTATGTATGTATGCCAAATGTCTTCCCCATGATCTCCCCCGCCTCACTCAAAGGTTTACTTAATTTTTTTTTTTTTTTGGAGACAGGATTTCTCTGTGTAGCCATGGCTATTCTGGAACTCACTCTGTATACCAGGCTGGACTTGAACTCAGATATCTGCCTGTCTCTGCCTCCTGAGTGGTGGTATTAAAGGTGTGTGCCACCACTGTCCAGCTTAAAAAATATTTTTTTTTGTGTGTGTGGATAACTGTTAGTGCATTACACAATGCAACATGTGTGGAGGCCAGCGGACAGCACTGGATCTACCATAACTGGAGTTACAGAGGATTGTGGGCCAGAAGGCGGGGCTGGGAACTGAACTGGGGTCCTCTGCAAGAGCAGCCAGTGCTCTTAACCTCTGAGCATTTCCCCCTGTTGCTATGCTCTCCTTTAATTCTTAGAATAACTTAGGAAGTGAGTGATGATGTTTTTCTCATTTGGAAGACATGAACAGAAGTTGAGCATGGACCATGGGTGAAGATTACGCTTCAGGACATGCCTAGGTCCTCTGTGAAGTGACTCGGGTGGGGGCGGGAACACTGAGGGCAGTGATTTTGATGATTTTTTTGCCTGTTCTAATATTACAACTGTAGGAATAAGGTAGCCACGAGAGCTCCCAGAAGCAGACAGAGAGCAGGTGGGATGAAGGTGGTCATTCTTGATGGACTCCTCTGCTGAACCCCTGTATTGCTCCAGCTTGTCTTCCCTGATTACTCTGCACACTTTACTACAATGGGACTCTTTGGGGAACTCACATCCATGCTGGAGGCTGAGAGAAACCCTGGGAGGAAACCACTTCCACAGTTGCTCTAGGCTTACATACTGGTATGGCTTTCTGAGACCCAGCTAGGCTCTCCTCAGCTGAACCTGGCATAAGAATGGGTGACCTCATCCTCTTTCCTAGAAACGATGGAACAAACATGTAAGCCACTCTCCGGGATGCTCAGCTCGAGTGAAAGTTGAACTGAACACTGGGTCTGGCTTTTCTTGGGCCTTGGGCTTCTTAGCTAGTTAGCCCAAGGGTCTGATCTGCTTTAGGAAGGTGGCTTCGCATAACTTCTGGTGACTGATGACAGAGATGTTACCCCTAGGATCTTATTGAGTGGAGTCAGTGTTTCCAACCCGTTGGGTAGAGAGAGAGGCTCAGTGCTACTGAGCTCTGCTGGGATGCAGGAAAAACTGGCTGACTGAAGGTCTAGAGGAAGCACGTCTTTGGGCCTCAGTTTCCTCATCTGTCAAAGGAAATGTGATACCTATTTGTGCCATTCAGGACCTCAGGGGCACTAAACCCAGGGCTGTGATGAGTGGTCATACAGAGCTGCCCATCCAAATCCATGGCTTGCTGTTGCCTTCAGTGTTGACACTAATGGAGGAGGAGGATGATTGAGATCATCTGTGTGACTCCAAAGCTTCCACACCCCTCCACCATTCCTGATAGAGGGCCTTGGAAAACATGGTGGAATGACATGAAGGCTTCAGGAGCAAATAAACAGCAGCTATTTTATTAGGGCTACAATTGAGATTTCACACAGGTAGCTTGGGTGGTGAACAAAGTTAATAAATAACTTATGAGATGTGAGGAGCAAAGTCTGGATTCAGCCCATATCTTTTGGTTGCTTCTGTCTCTGTGGCCTGGGAATCGGAGCCTCTTGGGGAGGGGAGACTTAGCTTTGGTTGGTCTAATTTTCCTGTGCCCATCTTCATTCTAACACTGGATGGGCTTCTGAGGCTGTCAAACAAATTCAGGCATTTCAAGTCCTCCATATGCACCCGGGGCAGCTCCATGCTTAGGACTCCTCATTCACCCCATCCCTGCTCATTCTCCTGTATCCCCATCTGATCCTGTACCCCACTAGCTGTTTTTGTTGCATAGGTGGGTGTGTGGCTGGAAACAACAGGATTCTGTGAGACAGAGGACTTCTCTTGTTCAGGGAACCTCCCTCATCAAACAGCCTGAGGGAGGATGGAGCGGAGAGAATAAGAACTGGCCAGAGTATCTGCTTAGATACTCAGGTTGTGCCTTCTCTACTAGATCATTCTGATGTTTCTACTTGAAACTTAGCCCTGTGCTCCCGTTTGGTTGAGGCACTGACCCTGATCTTTTTGTCTATTTCGCTTGTTTATCATATTTCTTTATGTTCTGACTTTCTCTCTCGAGAGTACTTCAGGAGAGTAAAGGTCACAGGCTCTCATAATGGCTAGAGCCAGCTTGACATATGGAGAGTGTTCCAGGATGTCTATGAAAGTGTGTGTGTGTGTGTGTGTGTGTGTGTGTGTGTGTGTGTGTGTGTGTGTTGATAGGACAACAGGAAGGTGAGACACAGTATCACATGAGGACCCGGGTGGAGGGGGTCTCAGTGCACCTGACCTGGGCTCTAGTTATTGCTGGCTGCCAAGATTGACCATAGGAAGCTGCCCTGGCTGTCAGACAAGGAAATAATCCTGCTGGGAGCCCTGACTCTGTGTAGAGCCTGCTATGGGCAGGTTTCCCATCGTGGCTCACCTATTATCCCAGGCAGCTGCACAATGGCTTTAGCTTTATCTTGGCTGGAAGACTCTGAAACATAGCCAGGTTAAGTCATTTGCCACAGACTCTTTTCTGAGCGGTGTGGTCCTCCTGTGATCTATCTGGTTCTTCTCAGTGCCCTGCCATGGGCAAGCCTGTTACATTTTTGTTCTGTTTCTGGGGTCCTCTTCTATAAATGTGGATTTTGCCAGAATTAGGAGCGGACTGGCTTATCAAACTGCTATTATGGAATGCTATTTCCAGGCCATGGCAGTGAGTCAGTACTACAGCATACACTGGAAGATGCCAGGAACACATTGTATCCCCCCATACACTGTGGGAAAGGCAGGCACTTCCAATTCCTGCAGGTCTCAGAGAGAACACCACCTACATAGGGGCCAAGGGTTAAGTAGCTGGATCACTATGGTTGGGCAGGGCACCATCTAACAGCCCTAAGCTGGGGCTTGGATAACAAAGAGGAACCTCCCTAGAGGGCAACTGGACTTTTAGAGCATACAGCCACCTGCTATATAAGGCCTCTCCCACACCTGCTCCAACACATTGCCAGATCCACTTTCCTCAGGATAGTGTCCCTGACTGGGCCCAGAAGGTGAGAGGATGCTGAGTCTCAAGCCTGATGCTAGGAGAAGCTGCATCCTGGCGGGGGTGGTGTCACTAGGGGAATCAGGCCTGCTCTGGCTAGCTTTCAGAATGTTCTTGAGGTTCTTTTCTGCCAATGCTGCCCCGGATGTGCAGACTGGAGTAGAGGTTGAGGCTAGGGGTGTGCTTGCTTGGCATTCTGTTGTCAGTGTGTCACTGTGTCTCTGAGCTCTGGCTTCCCTGGCAGACATCAGCAATTGTGGCAGCATGCTGCTAGACTGCTGAAAGATTTAACAGTAGATTGTTGCAAGGAAGGGAGGAGACTGGAGAGGTAGCTCAGTTGGTAGAGTGCTTACCTAAGAATCAGGAAGTGCTGGGTTCAATTCCTAGTGTCTCATAACCTGGGTATCGTGGCACATGTCTGTCATCCCAGCACTCAGGAGGCAGAGGTAGGAGGATTAAAAGTTAAAGGGCATCCTTGACTATGTAGTCAATTTGAGGCTAGCCTGGGCTACAGGAGACCTAGTTCTTCTGGCAAAAAGAAGTGATTAACAGGCCTCCTGCCCCACCACAGGATTATCTCTGCCTCTCTGTTGTCTGCCAGCTGGGTCCTAACTTCTCTGGGTCTGAAAATAAGACGGCACCAGGCTGAGGTGGTATGGGCAGTGAATGTCCTACTGTGATTGCTTCTCCCCCAACTTTCGTCTCCCTTCCCCTCCTCCTTCTAGTAATAATGCTCTAGAAGTCTTTCCCCAGCATCTGGGGGTTCAGGCCTGGAGAGGTATCTTGGTATATGGAGGACTACATAGTTGAGTGCAGAGCCCGTGTGTCATATACTCTACACAAGACATACTCAATTTGCCCTCTGGGTTTCTGAACAGTGTGACCACTAGGAAAGCATGTGGGTTATTTGTCCCTTGACTGGGCTAGTTTCCCTTATTTTTTACTAGTCCCCAGTAAACCAACCTGAAGGCCATACTGCTGTGTGTGCTATGAGGCCGGACGTGTGTTTGGTCTGTGGTAAGGGATGGAGCAGGAAGAGGGATGTTCTCTCAGAAAAGGTCAGCTCTCTTTAGTCTGTGGCAGCTGTCGTGGGGCAGCCAAGCTTGAGAGCAGGAAGCACCTGGAGTGTGCCCTGCTTTGGGCCCACAGGTGAGCCTGGCCACGTCTGCTTCTGCCAGAGGTTGCCTGTCTGTGGGGTGGAGACACCAGCCTGTCTTGAGGCAGCACTATTCACTGGGGCTCCACGGGTTGCAAGTGTTCTGCCTGCCAGGGTTTGTGGCAGCTGCTCAACACCTGCAGTTGCTGACCATCTGAACAGTGGTTCCTGTGCAGAGGGATGGACGTTCCTGTGTCTGTACCTACCTTAAGTGAGCTAACCTAAGGAGCCACATTTGACCATGGTCAATAAGATTATGATCAAGGAGGGCTCCGTGCAAATGTCTGCTTCCTGTGCTGTATTGCTACTCAGGCAAAGAGAAATTCCTTGAGTGGAGACATAGGATCCTAATAAATGTGGCAAAAACCTAAGAAGCCTCAAGTTCTAGTTCAGATGATTTGCAGGTAAGGAATGCCAGGCACTGAGAAATTGGTGCCACTTTATCTGTCTCAGGAGCTTCGATGTGTTCAGGCCCCCACTTCCAAGGTCTGTCACATGTGTTGGATAGCAGACTCGGGAGTGGGAGCGAGGGGTCTGCATCATACCCCAGTTCTGACACCTCTCAGGAGTAAGATCTTTGTTTTGAATCCATCAATTCTCTCTTCTAGGGCTCAGTTTTTTTCCAGATACTAAGAATAGTACCTGGTTGCTAAGGTGGACAAATTACTCAAATTAGTGTATGTAAAGGGCTTGGAACAGAGCAAGAGCTCCCAGGTGTCTGTATAGGTGGTGGCAGCGAAGCTCCTGTGCATCAAAGTGAATATAGGAGATGTCTGCAGTGAGAATAGGCATTGCACTCTGGAGCGGTGCAGGGGGCGGGGTGGCGACACAGATCCTGTGGCAGGGGAAATGAGGGGACCACAAAACCTGAGGGAGGAGAGGAGGACATAAAACCAGGGCTGCTCTTTTTATCCTGTTAGGATTTGTATGCCACAAAAGCCCATGGCCTGGTCATCAGCCCACGGCTCTATAGTGAGATACTGGAACTTTTGTGTGTGTGTGTGGTGGCCTGGGAGAAGGAAGTTAGCTAATTGAGCAAAACACTGGGACACTCTGTTCAGACCTTCTTGGTCATGAGCTTCTGAAAATTCCCATGTGATGGGTCAAAATGACTGACACCTCTGAAGCCATGAGTCACAATGAATCTTTCTTCCTTACAAATTGATTACCTCAGGTATTTTATTATAGTGACAGAAATCCGACAGACACATACCTTGGTCCCAGAAGACCTGGAAATTGGTTTGTCTGTTTGTCCATTTGCAGCTAAAACTCAACCTTGCATCAGGGCAGGGCTGATTTTTCTCTCCCAGAGACAAGGACAGATCCAGTAGTAAGCTTGTTGCAGTGTCTTTAAGACACTTTTGATGCCAGCATTTCTCCAAGATCCCAGGCTTCCCTCTTTGTGTCTTCCCAGGTTTGAGGCTCCGTGTTCCCATCCTTGGGAGAAGCCAGTCCCAGCATCATGAAAGGCATCCTCATTGCTGGTGTCTTTGCAGCATTTGCCATCACAGTTATAGGTGAGAGAAGCCCCCTTCTGGATAAACATCCTTGCTCTTGGCATCCTGGTACCCACCACCTAGCCTGTTGTGCTGTGTGAGACCCATGTGTCCTCTCTGCCTTTAGAAAGACCACTTTGCTGCTGGTTAGGCTTGGCTCTTCCTGTTGGGGAATGGAGAATAATGTGGAGAAACTGACGGCATCGCTCCATCTCATAGCATCAGTTTTGGGGATCTTCAGAGGACAGTTGGGCATCCCATCAGGGTCTTTCTTCCTGTGGTGGGTGTGGTGCTCTGTGAAAGTGTACTGGTTGTTGACTTCTGTGAATACTTTCTCTCCTCAGACTCCCTGGAGTGTAGACAATGTCAGTCATTGAATAACAGCTGCAGTATCCAAGTTGTAACATGTGAGGAAGGGTCCTTGAGTTGTGTGGAGTCCTCGGTCAACTCTACTCTAGGTGAGTGGGGCTGCCTCTATCTCTGGGACTCATGGGAGATGGGAGCTAAAGAGGGTGGGCATGAAAAGGACACCTGAGCTGGGGTTGGGCTGTGCAGTGAGACTAGTGGGTCATGAAGACAACTCCCTAGGGCTGAACTGAGGTGAGCAGGAGCTTCATGGCAATACAGGCACAGAATCAAACAAGCAGATAAGCTCTGCAGTGTCTTGGAAATCAATACCACTGATCAAACCCTCACTGTAGATAGATACATTTGTTTGTAGATGTAAGCAGCAAGAGCAACTCAAAGCTAAATAAGAGGCAGGGATTTTGCCTGGGACATGTGTTTATTCAGCCATCTCTTTTCTTAGCCTCCTGGCTCCTTTCTCTTCTCGATGAAATCTATTTCCTTGGTGAACTCCATCCCAGGCATTCTGACTGTTAGGAACCTCTCAGGGCACTTAGAGTTCTTCCACAAACAAAAGCGGCAAGGACAACAAACTGACATCTAAACCCTGGCCTTGGTCAACAAGGGGGCTCGGGAGATGTGTCAATCAACAAAATGCTTGCCACACAAACAGGAGGACCCGAACTTGTCCCTCAGCATCTATGTAAAAAGGCCAGGCATGACAGTGCAGGCCTGTAATCTCAGTACGGGGCAGCCCAGACAAGATGATTCCTGGAGCTTGCCAGTCTAAAATTGGTGAGGTCCAAACCAGTTAGCTCAAGACCTTTTATCAAAAAATAAGTCAGAGAGCCATTGAGAAAGCCGGTGTTGATCTCTACCTTTTGAATGCTGTGATTACAATTATATGCCAACATGGCCGGCTAACTTAACGTTTTTGTTTTATTTATTTATTTATTTATTTATTTATTTAGTGTGGGGCATTACATCCAGGGCTTTGAATGTGTCAGACAAGTACTCTACCACAGACCCACAGTCCTAGTCCCTTCATTTATTTTGACTTATTCACATTTAATGTAATAGCCACATACAGCTGATGTCTCCATATTGCGTAGCTCTGACTGGATTCTAATGCAGTTTCTGGTACTGTGATATTGTATCATATTCCATATCCCACTGTGTATGCTTTATTATGTTTTGAGATGTTAAGACAAATTGGTGACCTGGGAGGTCTGTGCATGTGTTAGATTAAACCACCATTTTCTAGTGTCCCTCCTGACTAGTATTTGTACCCAACCTTTTGACATCATGATACAACATTGTCACCCACAAAGTTCACGTGGTTAGGAGATATGGTTAACAAAAAAAAATTGTGAAAACTTTTAATGTGCTAAGTAAGTTTACAACTTTGTGCTGGGTCTCAATTTACATTTCTTGTGGCTGCACGTGGCCACATGAGGCTCACAAGGTGTAGGTTAGCTAATGGCAGAGTCTAACCCATCCCTCTGCTAATCTGATGAAATGAAGAGTTCTCTATGATAGGGAAGGGTTATCTTTTTGCTCTTCCCCCACCTCCCACCCCAGACAAGGTATCATTATGTAGCCCTGGCTATCCTGGAACTCACTATGTAGATCAGGCTGGCTTTGAATTCACAGGAATCCACCTGCCTCTATGTCCCAAATGCTGGGATTAAAGGCATACACTACTACACCCCACTGGGTTTTTCACATTTTAAGAAGCCTCCAGTGTCTCTCAAGATGTGCTGAACAGAGGTTTAAGTCAACTATTCTTGTCTGAAGTACCATCTCCTCTGGATGCTGCTCTCCCTGGAGCCTCTCCAGGCACTAACAGTCTGTTTTTGTCTTGATGTAGGAGGGTCCTTGTATTCATACCAGAACAAGTTCTGCTCAAAAAGTAATTGCACCAAGAACGAAACCACCCAAGTGGCCTTCACAGTGCATGTGTTTGATGACCAAAGCTACCATTTTGCAAGCCAGTGCTGTCAAGATGGGCAATGCAATGACATCAACCCTGGTTTGTACTGGGCCAAGCAGCCTGTCCTGTGTCACCCTCAATGTTCCACCCTTGATTTTCTATCTGCTATACTTGGCTGGGGATGCATGTCTCAAGTCCAGACACTTCAGCGCACAGCTGGATGATGTTAGCGGCTGACTTACAGCAATCACATAAGAAACATGGGAGATGCTCAACCAGCCTAGATATCATGCTTTCTTTCCCCTTCGTCAGTGAAGATGGGGATTTCATTTGGTGGCAAGCGAAGCATGCTCATTAGTCATTCTTAAATTTTGTGATCTTAGGGCCTCAACTACAAGTTTCTTGTAGATAATATCTCCTGCATGCAGTCTAGGCCCACCTCAAACTTGATATGGAGGCAAGGATGGCCTTCACTCAGTCTTCCTGCAATTGCCTCCTGAGTGCTGGGATTATAGGTGTGTGCCACCACACCTGGCAACATTCTAAGAGTCAGTAACAAATCTTTTATTTATATGGTGTCTACCTGCTAACATTTACCAGTTTAGAAATAAAAGTGAAACATATTCACAAATGTTAATTTATTTACTCAAAAGTAAAAATATAGCCAAATGTATATGTAGCCAGGCATGGTGGTACATGCCTTTAATTCCAGCACTTTTGAGGTAGAGGAAGAGACAGGTGGATCTCTATTAGTTGAAGGCCAGCCTGGTGAGACCCTGTCTAAAACAAAGTCAAAAACAAGAAAAGTTATACATATTAATACTAATAGAGTTTTATATAGAAATAACTTCCAAAAACATTTAATGAGATGAATAGCATTGTTCCATATTGCATATATGTATATTAAAGATTTATTTATTTTGTGAGCTTGTATGTATGTGTACCATGTGTGTGCAATGCCCACAAAAGCCAGAAGAAGGCATCAGATCCTCTGGAGCTGGAGTTATAGAGGGTTGTAGTCTGCCACATGGTGGCTAGGGACTGAACCTGGGAACCGAGCCTGTGCTCTTTATTGCCGAGCCATCTCTCTAGCACAAACCACTGAACACATATTTAGATAGAGTGTTTTAACTTCTAATTTTAGAAGGAAATTGGGATCTCATGGTTGCTGGTGTATTTACTCTGTTTCAGTCTCACTCATTATGTGGGGCTTCTGGAAAGTTCTGCTACAAGCACACAAGGTAACAGAAGAAAAAGGAGCAGATATCACCTTAGTGTTATATAACAATGGCTTTAATCTTTTGGAATCCCTTCAGGGCCTCAGGGACCCAGGAGTTTCTAGATTACAATTTGAGACGTGGTCTTCTACATCAAAGTCTTCATTTGGAACAGTGGTTCTCAATCTGTGGGCTGTGACCGCCAGAAAATATTTATTTCAGATGGTCTTAGGAACCCACAACTATAAATTTATTTTTGTTGCTGCTTCATAAGTGTAATTTTGATACTGAGCAGTGTCTCAGTTCTTAAGACCATTGGGAATATGTTGAGAACTGCTGGTTACGAAGAAGAAAAATATGTGGGCAGAGATAGTGAGGTTTAATATCATAAGCACAGAGAGTTAGGAGCAGGGCGGCCTGATTCTCAATGTGATTTGTTAACTTTTTAATTTTTCATTTCATCACAATATGAAAATGGACCATGTTCATCTGCTCAGGACAAGTCTTAATGCCAATCAGACACCTGTTGGCGAATGCTTCAAACAGCTGGCTGTCGTTGACATTGACTACGGCTTGAATTCTTTCCTTTCTTGCTCATATCTACTCCAGAGCACTGTGAACCATCATTCTTGCAGACTGGCTGCCCCTTAAAGGTGGGCCTCAGGGGTTGTGCATAGGAAACCTTTGGACAAAGCATGTGTCTTTAGGACTAGATCTAAGGTTCCCCAGATGCAGACTCTCCAGCAGCTTCTCTGCCTGCCTATCGCCTCCTCACTAGGGCAGTGTGATAACATGATTCTAAGTCATGGCTTTCCTTTACCCAGGCTCTATATCACAGACTGTCACCAACACCCAGTGCTCTGCTTGCTATAGCTATAACACAACCACCTGCCAGGAGAAAACCCGGCAGTGTTTCGAAGGAGAACAATGTGTCCACATCATTGCTGTGCAAGTAAATGGTAAGTGTGGGCTTCAACTCCTTAACAGGGCTGGAGATGAACCACGTCAGGTCTTGATTCAAGTGCTGAGCTAAGAAGGGCAGAAGGGCTGGGGATGGCAGAAGCAGAGCAGAGACTAGCTCAGTATGCCTTGTGGCTAGAGACTGCCAGGAAGCCTTCTGCCAGTTGCCACTTCTGCTCTTAGTGCAGGGCTACTGCTTTGTGTGTGTGTGTGTGTGTGTGTGTGTGTGTGTGTGTGTTTCTTCTCTATCTTGAGAAGTGTTGGCTTGGAGCAGCTAGAGCCCTCTGGTTATTTCTTTTTTTCCTACAAAAGTAATCTGACAGTGGTTGACATTTCGTCAGTGAATTCACCCTGCCTGATGGCAGCATGCAGTTCACATTTGCTTCTTGCTACTGGAACAGCCCTGAGGCCACTACTGCCCTGTCCTATTTCCCCAGGACAAAGTAGATCTCTACTGGTCCTTTATGGTGGGGAGTGGAAGGTGGTGAGGGCAGGAGGGTGGTGGCTCAAAGCTAGGGCCATCTTAAGGGTCAAGTCTGGAAGTGAATATGTAGTGTCCTCCTACACTACATTGGGTGCAACCAATGTGTCCATCCTGGCTAAGGGAAGTCTTGGGAATTCGGTCTAGTGACTTCCAAGAAGTAAAGAAAGAGGTACAAAGCAAAAATGAATAACCAGTTCATCTCAGCTAAAACACAGCTCAGACTAAAAAGGTTTAAGGGCTGCAGCCAAATACAAATTTCATTTCAATTTTTACTTAACGCCAACTTCAAAGCTTACCTATAATTATGGAGTTTTCAGTGGATCTAAGCACCCTATCTTTTAAAGCCTTTAGAAATATTTTTAAAGAGATATTTTAGAACCACAGTAAAGCTGAGTTAGAGACATAGACATTCCCTACGTACCCTCCTTGCTGCCTGGCCCATGTGTAATTGTCATCATTGTCAAAATGCTCACACCACAGTGGTAAGCCTACACAGGCACTCATTGTCACCCAAGTCTGCAGTTTACATATCAGGGTTCACTGCTGATACAGTCCATTCCAGCATGACAGTGTCACATAGAGGAAGGCCCTCTGCCCTGAAAGCCTGTGTCCCACTTGGTCATGCTTTTCTTTTTCCACACAGGACTCTGGCAACCACTGGTCTTTTCCAGCACTCTATCTTATTCTGGAATGTCTGCTTTCTCCCTCTCACTTTCTCAGTTTCTCTATGTCTTTCTGCTCTACCCCCCAGGCCTCACACATGCAAATCATACACTGTACCACTGAGCTCTACCACAGCAAAAGGTCACTTTCCTTTAGAGATGGTTGAGGTCCTCACACAGCCTTGGTTTTTAATTCTAAAGTTGTGCCTCAAGGCAGCAAAATACCTCCACTCATCTCATCCCTGTGTCTCCAGGTGGTGTAGTCTCATCGACACTGAAAGCCAGACAGGCCACAAACGAAGCTTTTCTTGCTTGTTTTGTCCAACACCACTTTTAAAATCCCATCGAGAAGTGCCAAGCACCCCACTTCCAGACTCAAGTTAACTCAACTCTCAGCACTGATACTTAGATGAAAGAAAAGCAAACTTTTCTTCCTGGGGTTTGGAGGTCTCTGACAGTACCATGTCTGTTCATCCTGTTGAGTCTCCTCAGTCCTCTGGGAGCTCCCTGTTTCTTAGGGTTGCTGCAGCTGACAGACCCTCAGGGGCACAACCACTCAGAAGTAGCTGCTCTTGTAACTACATCTTTGAAAATGCTGGAGACCCTTTTCTTGTTTTTTCATCATTTTTTTTTTTTCGAGACAGGGTTTCTCTGTGTAGCTTTGGAGCCTATCCTGGCACTCGCTCTGGAGACCAGGCTGGCCTCGAACTCACAGAGATCCACCTACCTCTTCCTCCTGAGTGCTGGGATTAAAGGTGTGCACCACCAATGCCTGGCATTTTTCATCATTTTTAAAATTTATTTTACATACCAATCACAGTTTCTCCTCCTGTCCCCCGGCCCCCCCAATCCACTCCTCATCCATCTCCATTCAGATGGGGCAAGGCCACCCATGGCAGTCAACAAAGCATGAAATATCAAGTTGAGGTGGGACCAAGCTCCTCCCGGCTGCATCAAGGCTGAACAAAGCCTCGAACCATAGGGAATAGGTTTCAAAGAGCCAGCTCACGCACCAGGGACAGATGGTGGTCCCACTGCTAGAGGCCCCACAAAAGACCAAGCTACCCAACTGTCACCCAGATGCAGAGGGCCTAGGTCTGTTCTGTGATGGCTCCCTAGCTGTCGGCCCAGAGTCCATGAGCTCCCACAAGCTCAGGTCAGCTGAACTTTTCACAACTCGAATCAGAGACTGTCTAAATAGAGCTTTGAGTTAAGATAGAGGTGCCGAGCGTTTCCTGTCCACTTTCTGCTGGTTTTTCTTTTTCCCAAGGAAAACTCAGGCAGGAAAAAGTCAGATCCAGAGGAGTGAGATCTGAAAGAAAATGCTGGGCTGGGGGGTGGAGCTCAGGGTGCCCACTGATTGATTCCTTTCTGAATGGCAAGGTGAAAGAAAGAGCTGCCCCTGAGCCTGTTACCCATGCTTGCCTATTCGTCTTTTCCTACCCCCTCCTCTTCCTCTCCCCCAACCTTCTTTTTCCATTTCCCCCTCTCTGTGTTTTTCTTAACCAAGTCTTGCCATGTTGCTGAGGCTAGCCTTGAACTCATGATCTTCCTGTTACAGTCTCCCAAGTACTGGGCTTGCAGGTGTGCATCAGCCCGCCCAGTTTGTTTTTGGCTTTTTTCATCTGATAGCTCCATAGGAACACAAGACATGGGGCATCCAAGATCCATCCCATTCTTTCTTTTAAGCCTGGCTTTGCAACTCACCTCTCATAGCCTCAGTTGCTTTGGGGGTTGGGTGAGGAGGGTTCTGGCCTCTGACCTTCATAGTTCTGGTACTGCTATTGTCTGGTATTCTTAATTCTGGACTTCTTCCTTGAAGGTGGCTGTGAGAAGCAGTGGAGCCTCCATGGGACCTAGCTAGGTCTTCTGCATGTGGGAGACAATTGTGTAGCTGGGCCTATCTGAGTGGCCCCTGACTATAGGACTAGTATCTATCCCTGGTCCATGAGCTTGCTTGTTAGAGCCCATTCTCTATGGTGGGATGCCATGCTCAGCCTTAATGCAGAGGGGAGGGACTTGGTCCTGCATCAACTTAATAGACCAGGCTTTGTCAGCCCCTCCATGGAAGCCCTTACCCTGTGGGAGGAGTGGATGAGGGGATTGGTTGCAGGGGAAGCAAGGGGGCAGGAGGAGGAGTGGGAGGGAGAACTGTGGTTGGGATGCAAAATGAAGTAAAAAAAAATAGACTTAAAAAAGGTGGCTGTCAGAAGCAGCGGGGCTGTTGCATGCTGCTCAATTGCTTGCAGATAAATAACTCTGCATGGGCTGGGGCTTGGGTGATAGGGTTGTAGAGCTCTGACTGTGACATTTGTATCTTCAGATACTGAACATATGTTGGAGCTTAAAGGCTGTTCTGATATCAGCCAGTCTGTTTGTGAAACCCTGGCTCCTGAGAATACAACATTTGGAGAATTCATTTTCCAGAAGGTTCAATGCACAAATGCAACCAAAATCTCATCAACCACCACTCTGGCCGCCACCACCACGACCAGCACAGCGATTAAAGCTTCCTTCGCCTCTTCTGTCTTCGGCAGCCTCCTTCTTCTGAAGCTGCTATTCTGAGGTTCCTGGGCGCTGCCCCACCCAGTGTCCCATGTCGTTAACACCCTTTCTGTTCACATACCTTCCAGTTTAATTGCTCAGTGGGTTGGAAGTCACAGGACTCCAGGCAATGCTAGTAGCTACATTATGTCCTTTATTAAAGTGTTGTTTGACTTCTAGATGGTCTGTCCTGTTATGTTTGGGGCTTGGATATTGTTCAAGTCACTGCCTACCCTTCTCATCTTGGGTGGAGGTAGGGTCTTTGCCTTGGAGATAGGAGCTTCTTTGCCTCCAGACTCAATGGTATCCCTGCTCCTGGTCCATCTTGCTTCCAAGAAGCTGAACCTGTGACCTTGCTGGCACCTTCTACTAGCATTCCCGTACTCCAGCATTCTACATGCTACTGCTTGTGCGGTCACATGCAGGAGGTGCCCCAGCTGAGCCCCGTCATGCCCCGTGATGCTCCTAGCACCAAAACAGATGTTCAACAGCCTTTCAGTCTGGTACAACATCATGATATCTGGTTATTCAACAGTTGTCCAGAGATCCACAGCAAATAAAGAAAAAAATGTCATCTCAAGAAGGGCATATGCAGAAGGACTGCTGAAGACCAGAGTGCTCCCACTGGCTGCATGATCACATCTTTAGGAAGACAGAGGACAGAGGGGCTCAGAGCCTGGGATTAGGAGGTCTTCTGTAACACTGTGCAGGATGGAGTGTGGATGCAGAGCCCTGGTCCCTTCATTCAGAGAGTTGAACCTGGTCATCCATTCCACATCAGATACACAGGGGGCAAGACAGCCACTCAAACCCAAGCTTGCTGGGTTCAGGTTTAATAGTAAGATGGGTGTTAAGCTAGTTTTGGATAGATGGGGTTTTCTGTAATAGAGAAACCAAAAGGCATAAGCCAGAAAGGGTCTTTATTGTGAAGAACTGCTGCCAATGAAGCAAGAGCAAGCTACCATGAGGGCTGTGATGGTACACACCACTGTGTCCACTCTGACTTACCTTGGCTCTTTAAAAAAACATTTATTTTTACTATTTATGTGCACCTGCTGTGTGTGTGTGTGTGTGTGTGTGTGTGTGTGTGTGTGTGTGCACAAGAGTACAGTGCTCACAGAGGCTGGAAGAGGGTGGCAGATCTTCTGAAGATGGAGTTATAAGTGATGCTACAGCCTAATAATATGGCTGCTGGGAAGGGAATCCAGCTCCTCTGTAAGAGCAGCAAATACTCTGAAGTACTGAGCAGTCTCTCCATCCCACCTTAGCTCTTTATTTACAAAACCAGGAGTGCTTGAGAATGCCTTCACCCAGTGCTCCAATTTCCTGTCTGTTGCTGAGATAACACAATCTCACAAAAACAGTTTAGGAGATGAAGGGCTTATTTCAGCTCACAGCTCCAGGCTACAGTTCATTGCTAAGGAGAAGTCACAGTAGCGGTAGTGTGATACAGCTAGTCACATGGCATCCACAGTTAAGACAAGAGAGAAACACGCACACAGCATCATTTGTTGACATTGATTTTCTCATGCAGTTCAGGACCCCCTGCCCAGGGAATGGCACCACCCATAGTGGAATGGATTTTCCCATATCAATTACTTAATTAAGACAGTCTCCCCTACCACAAGACATGCCTACAGGTCAACCTAATATGGACAAACCCTGATGGAGACTTCCTTTCCAGATGGTCTAAGTCAAGTTGATAGTTAAAGTCAATCATCATACCCCACTCCTTGTCCACTTGTCATATATCACAACACTTTTAAACTATAATCTTTCACTTTTTAAATTTTTATATGTGTGGATGTTTTGCCTGCAAGCATGTCTGTGCACTATGTGAATGCCTTCAGTGGCTCTAGAAGCCAGGAGAAGGCATTGGATTCTCTGGAACAGGAGTTATAGATGATTGTGCACTATCACAGGTCCCAGGACAGATCATTTAACTTATCATTCTCCAACCAACAGAAGTGAAAGAAACACACAGAAGGAAACACAGAGAGACACATAGTAAGGACAACCCTGGGTAGCCACCACACAGACTTAAACCAGGGGACTCTGGTGATGTCTCATGCAGATCCCAGACACTAGGGCTGGGTCCAGACTTTTCTAAGTGCCCATGCAGAAAGTACCATAAAGGACAGATCCTCGTGACTTTCTGTAGTTTCCTGTTTAGGGTGGAGGCATCTGGAGCAGAGGTGGGGAAAGTTCCTGGGGCCCTGGAATGTCTCAGGGTGCATACTCCCTAGGAATTGTCAGTTCCTGGTGCAATCAGTCCAGAGGATCTGAGGCCTTAGTGTCTCTGGGAATCTTACTGGGACCTCTAGAATGTTGCTAGGCTACTCCTTTAAAGAACACGAACTCAAAAAGCCAACAGAAAGTCTTTATTTACCCCCTGGAGGGCTAGAGGGAGAACTTGCCCAAATTGTTTAACCCTAAGCCTCACCATTCTTTGTCTTTTATGTCTCAAATCCATATCCTTGTTGGAGTAGGTATGGCCTTATTGGAGGAAGAGTGTCACTGTGGGGGTGGGCTTTGAGGTCCCACATGCTCAAGATATCCTCAGTGTGGTTTACAGTCTCCTCCTACTGCTTATGGATCAAGATGTAGAATCCTCATCCCCTTCTCCAGCACCATGGGTGCCTGCATGCTGCCATGCTACTTTCCAAGATGATAATGGACTAGACCTATGAAACTATAAATGTATACCTTAGCAAGAGTTGCTGTGGTGATGGTGTCTCTTCAAAGCAACAGAAACCCTATCTAAGACACCCTCTAAAATCTAAAAGTATGGTTCCCAATTCCAAGCCTGGAATTAGATGAGCACCTTTTCATTTCTTAGCTTTGCCACCTGTGCAATGGGGACAATGGTCTTGCCTGCTGCACCAGGTTAGTAGAGATATAGATGGTTACTATGATGTACTGTACACAGGGCTTGGCAAAGAATCAATGTTAGTGCTTAGCAGAGGACTACAGTTTGGAAGCTAGTGTTCTCAGGGACCATTTTAGCATTCATGATTATAAAATCAAAATACCAACTCTGAAAAATGCTGAAGATGGTTTGTATCCTTCAGTACCAAATACTCAGACAAAACTTAATTCTTTATGTGAAAATTCTCAAGCATATCCACTTTCTAAGTATGCAAACCTGTTTTCCTCCTAGAGAGACAGTCATTATTAAGGGAGAGTGCTATGTGTGTACATCTGACAACTTGGGGGATGGAGGGTCCTTGCCATTATTAAGGGGGAGGGGCTATGTGTGTATATCGGACAACTTGTTCTAGATTTTTACACCCAAGTTAAATCTTCCAGGTTTTCATGTCAGTTTTGATGATTCATAAGTATTACCCGCAGGTCTTCATGGTAGAAAAAAGTCCCAGTTTTATGTTAACCTTGGATTAAACATGAAAATCTGATTTACAGCTTCTGTGATTTGATATCTGACTGACAAATATTTTTCAAATTCTCATGTAATTATCATGATCCTTCACTCTCTAAGCTCAGGATTTTTTTTTTGTGTGTCTCTTTAGATCAGGCAGATGGACTTTCAACCCCTGCCTTGGCAGGATCCTTGTCTATGTAAAGCATGAAGAAGCCTTGGTGGGATGGACAGATGGTTCAGCAGTTAAGAGCACTTGCTGCTCTTGTAGATGACTGGTGTAGGTTCCTGGTAACCACATAGAGGGGCTCACATCTGTCTGTGACTCCAGGTACAGGAGATCTGATTCCCTCTTCTGTATTTTGTGAGTACCTGC